TGTCCTGCACACTCACCCGCTGCCAGACTCCTGAGTCTCCCTGCACACAACCCTGTGATTGAATCTTTTGCTTTACAGTAGCATTCCTGGTGAGTCAGCAGGATGGGCCTGACAACTCCTCAGTTGTTAGCAGGCGTGTGGGACCTGTGCTTGCCCCTTTAGTCATAGAGGGTGTCCACAGGCAGGGCCTGCTTTGCTGGACACACCAGGCTAGCAGAGCCCCGATTGATCACGCAGTGGGCAGGGGCAGTGGATGCAGCAGCCTGCTTTGCCCTTGCTCTGGTGCACACCCAGGGTAGCCGGCACTGAATGGGCAGCTGCAGGGGAGAGGGGTTCTGCAAAGCCACTTCCCTCTGTAGCCGGAGAGCCTCAGCAAGTCATGGCAAAGATGAAACACCGTGAGTTCTATGAGAACACCTCTTGGGGCTTGGTGTAGAGCAGGTGCCCAACAACGACAAGGTCCTGTTTCTCCTTAAATTCCACAGCGGTCTGGGGGTCACTTAGTGGTACAGGTACCACTGCTGCCTGTCATTAATAGGGACGCTGGCACTCAGGAATGAGGCCTGCCAGGATGGTGTCCAGGACCAGGGACAGAGCCGGTGAAGGAACTCAGGTCTTCAGAGTCTGATCTGTGTTGCTCCCCCCTCGCATCATGTGTGCATGTAGATGACCTAACCCCATGGCCCCCTTCCTAGACAGGCTTGTCAGGTACACCCCAAAAGCCATCTCTAACTGTTCCATGGTTATAGCCATCACTAAGAATGGAGGGGCTGAAATACAGCCACCTATGTGACTCTGATGCAGTTGAAAACACCACACTGACGATTACTCTTCTTCTTGTGGGGGCCCCGCCTCCTTCTGAGCCCAAGTAATCCTCATAGCCTCCTGTGGACAGCAGTTAAACCGCTAAATGTGTGGAAGGTGGCTTTGTAGCACCTGATCACTTCATTGTGGTGCCTTAAACGGTAGATCTGCTATGGAAAAATCTCAGTGAACACTCACTTTTCAGAAGTTAATCTTACCAGAAGTGTTCTTCAGATGAATTCTGGTTCTCCAAAATGGCAAGATACTTTATTTTTAAAATTTTGTTATTTTAACACTGCATTGTTAGGTGTGATTTTTGACATCCCAGCAAGGCAAAGCTGCAATCTCACCAGATGCCATCTAACTTATGGCAAATTTTGTCAGATCTTATTTTATATAGTATAAGCAAGCTTAAGATAGATTCTACAGCCCTGGAAATTGTTAGTTTTCAGGATTGCAAAGTAACATTGACTTTGTGGTGTGAATCCTTCGTACAGAGATTTCAACTGAGTGCGTATTGGGGTCTGAGATGATTATCAAGGGTTTTTTAACTCAGAGGACCAGCCTCAGAATGCCAGGGTCATGGGAGTGGTTTTGTCAACTTCCTCCTGCCTCAGGAGCACAGTCCATACCCCGTTTGCCTGGTCACCCCTCACTGCAGACCCTGGGGACAGGGTGACCCAACTGAGCCAGCAACATCTCCAGAAACCCACATAGAACGCAGCTGACCAGTGGTAGACCAGCAGTTCATATTTAAGGTATCTCTTACCATTGTGAGACGCTTTTAAAAAAATAGTCATGATGGGCATCTCAGGGTTTCTGATTCAGTTGGTCTAGGCATGGGTGTTTTTAAAAGCTCCCCAGACAAAGCTCAAGTGTGGCCAGAGCCAACGTGTGCTGGAAAGTTGGAGGGCAGGATTTGGCTGGTTTAGTTTTGTTCCTTCATGATGCTCATAACCAGGAGGAGGGAGCCAATTTTTGGCTGCACTATTCTGGTGGCTTAGGCTCTTAGGGCGTGACTGACAGTGTCAGAGCTCCTTCACTAATAAATCATAAGATGTGCTTGGTATAAACATGATAGGAGCCATTCTGACAAATAGGTTGCATTCTCATTGTTGCTTTAAGATCCACATCTGTCTTCTTACTCTTTGAAATTTTACCCAGAAATGGAATGTCTTTTGACAGTTATTATCAGATATAAGCTTGCATTCACAGTTAAAAATAAAATCAGGTAGATTCAAGGAGAACTATTAGTACTTACATATGCTTGAAGGCTTGGAAGTGAATTATTTTACATGTGCCTATGTGTCTAGTTGGAGGTTTGGCACCCTTTATGAGCTGATTTGACTTTTGCGCCCACGCTGTCAAAATAAACACGCAGTTCTGGGGTTGGCCTCATAGCCTAGTGACTAATAGAGCCAGATCTCATACAGCCAGCTGTGGTCCAAAGGCCAGCCATGGCACCTCGAAAAACAGGCCAGGCACAGATGCATGTGTGACCCTGTCCCACCAGGATGGAGAAAGGGAGGAGATGGGATTGCAGCATGACCATGCACCATTGGGGGTCCTCTGTCTCTCTCTGGTGAGCACACATGCCCTCTGTCAATGAGAGAGCGAGAGAGAAGTAATTCTGTTTAAAGAACCCAGCAGTCTGGGAATTCTCATTGCAGACACCTGTCAGGGCCTTGCTTCACCTGCCCTGTGAGTTAGGTCTGTACGTTACTGGGCTCGTTTTCACAGTACATCTCTGATGCACTCTGTGGCTCTCGTGTGGAAACGCATCTTCTGGGACAACACTGCAACCAACTTCTTCACCGAAGCCTTTCTGGACAACCCATTCCAAGGAGGCATTTCTAATCATTAACTGTATATTCCATTTCTTTTGTGTCATACCGGTGTCCCGACTGCCTTGGGCTGCTTTGATGTTTCCAGCCTCTCTCTCTCTGTAGGAACCATCTTCCACTTGTTTAGAGACAGAGCAGGGCCTCTGCTGGCATCCTTTGCATTGAACTGAAAGGCCAGCCAGATCTGTATTGAGCGTCCATGTGGACTGTCTGTTTCTGTCATGGGAAGAAACTTACAGGTTGGGAGTGGGAATAGACCAGAGAAAGGGCGAGCGAGGCTGGCCTGGTGCTTCTTTAGGGTGCTTCAGTGTGTCAAATGAGAGCTTGTGTAAACCAGGCCACCAAGCTCGACCCCATGCTTGTTGGTGTAAGTTGTTCTGCAATACCCAAGCAGAGGAAACGAACTGGCCGTCCGGCCCCGCTGCAGAAGCATGGCAGTAGTGTCTGCAGTGCCGGAAGCCGTCTGAAGACTGGGCTTGGTTGCTGGGTTGACCGGTACATGCCATGGCTGGTTGGGAAGGCTGGGGGAAGATCACTGTGTGAGATATTTTGGGGACATTCATTTCTCTCTCATGAAAGAGATAAGTACAAAAGCTTAGGGGAGAGGAAAAAGGAGAGGTGCTTCTGATAAATTCAGCTTTTGAATCCAGACAGAGATAGAAAGTTCAAGCATGAGACATTTTCACTATAGAAAGGGTGTTTTAGTTGCAAGAGAGGAATTTGCCAAATTTTGATGGTGATTAGTAATTGTTATAGGGACTAAACTGCCTTGTTATTCAGTAATGATTTCAATACTGAATTGAGCAGTTAATTGAACACTCACTGCGCACCAGCCTGGGTTGGCCATTGGGGCGCTATCACAGACATGGCCCTGCCCTTGATGGGCTTGCAGACAGCAGGTGGTAAGGTGGGTACAGAAAGGTGTGTGTGGGCGGAATGGAGGGAGAGAAATAGACATCTGAGGAAGTTCTGGCAATGGTGGAGGCACATGGGAAAAGACACTGTAAACCCCCTGGCTAAGGCAAGAGTACACAGTCGTTCTTCAGGAGAAATGTCGTCACAGTGTGCACAAATCCAAATAGAGCTTCTGTCAAAAGCTGCCAGTCTTCCCGGGCCTTCCTGTTCCTCCTTGTCTGTGAACTTGCGTGAGCCTGTTCCTGCCACCTGGAATGGGTCTGCTGTCTCTGCTTACCCATGGAGATTATACGCCAAGACCCTCCATGGGTGACCGAAATCATGTAGAGAACTGGGCCCTCTACTTCAAGAAGTTCATAGAATACGCATATTATGAAACACTATAGAAGTTCATAGAATATGCATATTATGAAACATACATGGATTTAAATTTTTTTGACCAAAATGAACTTGTACTTTAATTCTATTTTTCTATGAACTTTTTGAAGTTCTCTATTATATATACTGTGTTCTTTCCTATACATACATGCCATGACAAAGTTTCATTTACAGATTAGGTACAGTAAGAGGTTAGCAGTAACTTAGAACCAAATAATTATAACAATGTGCTATAATAAAATTTCCATGAACATGGTCTTTCTCTCAATATCGTACGTACTTGCCTGTTTTCAGACTGGTTGACTGTGGGTAACTGAGACTGCAGAAAGTGAGACCAGGGACAAGGGGCTGCTGTCACCTGTCCTGGCCCTGCTCCCTGGCTCTGGCCATGGCCCCTCTCTGCCCAGACCTAGCCCGTCCTCTGGGCATTGGCCCTGCCTGTGCCTCCCTCTGCTGGGCTCTGAACCTCTCAGCAGGAGGGACCTTATTTTCCTTCGATCTCCGTCTCTGCTCCATCCCTCACATACACACCAGCTCTGCTTTTTCACCCTGCTGCCTGGCCCAGGACTGTGGAGCTGGATGGCTCCCTGAGGACACGCGGGCTGTCATGGCCGAGCACAGGCAGGTGCTACTGTGTGCACATGGCTGGATCTCACACGACTGGTGTTTCATGGGAGATGGAAAGCTCGGCTAGGCAGCTGAGCAGGGACAGGGTGTGCCAAATGGGGCTGCCGCCTCATCATGCCCCATAGCAAGCCATCTCTGCTTGGCTTATTGCGAGGTTGGCCCAGGCTGGGACTCCCTCAGCTCAGGACTCACACAGCACCCGATAGCCGTTCTGAAGACGGGTGCCAGGGGTAAATACCCAGCCGGAGCGCAAGCCTTCATCTTCCCTCCTGGGTTCTGGATGATGACCAGGCTGACTGGAGGTGAAGGAAACCCTGTGCCCCAGGCACAGGGCCCGGCCGAGTCCTGGCAGAGTGTGGGGCTCTCACACATAGCCGCAGTGTCCCATGGGGCATGTCCTGTGCTCCATCTCCCTCCTCTTGTCATCTGCAGAGTGCTGAGCAGATTGCTGCGCTGTGTAGGAGTTTTAACGACACCCAGGCCAACAGCATGGAGGGACCGAGGGAAAGTCAGGATGCCCCCCTGAGGCCGCTGGCCCGCCACCTCTCCGACGCAGACCGCCTCCGAAAAGTCATCCAGGAGCTCGTGGACACAGAGAAGTCTTATGTGAAGGTAATGGGGAGTGCTGGGTGCCCTTTCCTCTTGGTGGGTCATGTCCTAAGTCCCCAGGGCGGAGCACCAGCCACTCACCAGCTAGACGTCTGCTTCTTGAGCACTGAATTCTGCAGGGGCAGGATGGGAAGGGTGGCAGGGAAGAAGACTTGGGGAAAATGAGATTTTCTGCTCCTTTTGTTACCAAGGTAGCTTTCACTATGGAAACAGATGTTCTCGTCTGGCGTTTGCAGTCTGTGCGGAGGGAGTCTGTATGGGTTTAGTGAGGGGACAAGAGACCATGCCAGGTGATGAGGAACCAGGGGAACATTTGTACATGTGACAGCTGACATGGGCCAGGCGGCTGGTGGTCACTAGGAACTCTCTCACACTGCTACAGGGGGCGGCTGCTGAGTACCTTGAGAACCCAAAGAACTCATTTATCAGCTCCTCGGCCTCCAGTTAGTGCCTTGAGGAAAGTTTTATAAAAATCAGGGAGTTCTGCATTGAGTGCTTGCTGAAGCCAGGGAGCTGCTTTGAGCTCCCCTTGCGTGTCAGATCTGGGGGCAGCGGGACTGGCGGGGGATCCAGGCTGGCTTCGCCTCTGGCTGGCTATGTGGCCTGGACAGTCCCTCCACTGTGGGTCCCTTGTTCTCCCAGGGCCTCCCAGCTGTGGGCCTTGGTGCACACCCACGTGGCTACTCCTGTCTTTCTCCGCAAGGCAAACCCGGGCTTCCGATCATTAACGGCACTGTTTCCAATGACTTTACCAAAGGCCTTACTCACAGGTAGCCCAGGAGAGCTTCCCAGAGCCTTTCAGTTTCATCAAGAGGGAAAGAAAAGTTAGAGAGGTGACAATTTAATTCCATTGTATCTTGTCCTGCCTCTAACATGGGGAGAGGAACCGGCCCTCCCGGAAGTTCAGCCTCGCTTTCTGAATGTACTCAGTGACCTTCTCCCACGCACGGTGGGCTGTGTATGCCTGAGGCTTCCGCACTCTGCTGCCTTGAGAATAGCCATGGGGCGCTCCCCGCAGAGTCAAGGGCAGGCCTGGGCGTAGCATCTGAGTCCCCCTTTGTTGTCACTGTTATGATCACCACGCTGCGCCCGGGGCATCACGCCAGTGCGACGCTGGTTCTCACGTGGATGTTGAGGGAGACGAAGGCGGACTTTCCCTTCTCCCTGCAAGCAAGAAACCTCTGTTTTCCTAGGCCAGGTGCTGCAGCCCTTTGCCCCAGCTCAGCGGGACCTGCGCTTGCGGTGCAGTAAGTCCTCTGAGCAGCGTCAGCCGGACCAGGAATGGCTGCGCCCCCGCCCTCACTCCACCCCGTGTGACAGAATAACAGCACCCGGTGCCTCCTGTCGTCCCCACACACAGCCCTGCTACTTTCATATTTCTTTCTGTTGCTGACACTTAACACAGAATTTTACTTGCCATGCTTTCATCTAACCCGGGTCCCTGCACGTTCCTTGAAATTTCCCACATTCGCGTGTTCCCGCGATGATTCAGTAACTTCTCGCATCTCCCTTCACCAGCAGTCTGCTGTGGCACGTGGGAGGGAGGGGAGGCCGGGGCGGTTCTCACTGAAACCACCACCAGCATCTCAGGCCCGACCTTGCTCTCAGAACCCACTAAGGTTCTGGGAGATTTGGGACTTGACAGAGCTCTCGGGGTCCTAGATTGCTCCCTCGCAAATGAGGGAGTCCAGGTTCTTCAGAATAAATGGAAAATGAAAGAGAAATCCTTTTTATCACTCAATTGTATCTTGATCCTGGCTTCAAATGATTAAAAAAGAACTCACTGCAGCAGGTTTCCGCAATGCAGTCTCTCCCACCATGCTGCACCGCCGGAGCCCTGATTGCTAGAGGCCCGGACATGGCTTAGATTTGGAGCATCCTGGCTGTTAATCTTGGAGAATGCTTTCTTGGCATTTGAATATGAGAGTTTGAAATTCTGCTTAATACTCCAACCCCAAAGTTGACGACCTCCGCAGATCATGTCTTTCCTGCCCAGCTCTGTTCTGGAGCTATCACTGTGCTCCCTGCCCCAGAGAAACCACGGTCGCTGAGGCCCCACCCGTTACCAGTCTCTAGACAGACCACGTCTCTGCGGGGAATGAGTGCTCCTGCTGAGCGGTCTAAAGGGTGAGCCTGTCTCTGCTAGAGGCTTAACTAAGTGGGGCAGGTGAGCCAGCTTTTCACGAACATGTGGATCTGCTGTTGATAGGACTGTGGTATTAACCTGTTTGGGTTAAGTAAGCAATAATAAGCACTTTCGGGGTCAGTGATTTCAAGCCACCATAAACTTCCTCATTCCTAATGGGCGTCTTTGAAGCTGCTGCCCGGGTTGCTGAAATGTCTTGAGTATTAGGGAAACTTAGCATTAACGGAACTGTCTTCTGCCTTTCAGGATCTGAGCTGCCTCTTTGAATTATACTTGGAGCCACTTCAGAATGAGACCTTTCTTACCCAAGATGAGGTACAGCTTAACCGCCTTCTTTCTGCCCACTGCCCTCCCTTGGCCCTTCGCAAACTTACCAGGAGTCCGTGCTTGGCCGCCTCCAAGGCAGTTCTGTGGCACCGGGGCAGGCATTTGCCGAGGCAGGATAGTTACGCTCTTCTGTAGTAGACAGAGGTGTGGCCAGAAACAGCTTTTCAGTACATGAGTTTTAAAGTTAGACAAGTAATCAGTTTTTTCTGACCTCATGGCTGACACCCATTTCTTGAATCCTGCTCTTCACATAGATGGAGTCACTCTTCGGAAGTTTGCCAGAGATGCTTGAGTTTCAGAAGGTGTTTCTGGAGACTCTGGAGGATGGGATTTCAGCATCATCTGACTTTAACATCCTGGAAACCCCCTCGCAATTTAGAGTAAGTATTTTAGACTTAGCTTAAAGCACAACAGGTGGGTATAATGTAGAATTCACCCTTGGAGAAGGATCTGTCGTAAGGTACTTTAGCGTTTCTGGTGCATTCTGGGGGCAAAGGAGGCTTCATTTCCTCTCAGTAAGTGCTCTGGTCGTCAGCAGTCGGCAGCCCCCCTCTGCGGAGTCGGCCTGGCTGGTGCCGACACACATGCCGGCCCCTCACATCACTGAATGCCGGTGATGTCTCCTGACGCAGGGACTCCTCACCCGTCTCATTCTTCATCTGTGTTCACGTGAACCGGCTGAAGAGTGCAGGTTCCAAACTGCTCTGCTCGAGCCTTCCCTTAGGAAGCATCTGTAACAGCCGGGGCTGCCGTGGAGCCCACAGGGAAGACAAGGCAGAAGGCGTAGGAAGGGGGACCAGGAAGGAGCACGATTTGTCCTGCGTAATGGAGAGTGGGCTTTGTTGACTTCTCAGGTCCTTTATAGCCCATCTTGTCAGGCACATTTTCAGAGAACAGTCTTCATCCTTTGATTGCACACGAGCTAGTAGCTCTGCTGCCGGAAACTTCTCAATCGAGCTAAAGATCGGCTTGGGGAATATGGGCAGTCCTCCATGCCCGGCGTGAGCGGTGTAGTCCTGGGCGTACTCCCGTCAGTGACGTCACTGAGGCAGGAGTGCTGCCTTGGGCAGGCAGACCCAGGTCCCCACCAGCTTGGTTGCATCCTGCTTGATCTGGCTTTTTCCTCTCCCTCTAGAAATTACTGTTCTCCCTCGGAGGCTCCTTCCTTTATTACGCGGACCACTTTAAACTGTACAGCGGGTTCTGTGCCAACCATATTAAAGTACAGAAGGTTCTAGAGAGAGGTAAGTTGCTCGTACCTTTCATAGCTATACCTTTTGTATTGCTAACTGTAAATAAAGCGTAACTCTGTATTCAACCAGTTGTAGTACATGGGATTGTAATGTTCCACCTTTGAAAGTGACGGAAGTTAAAGGGAAATTGATTTTGGCGTACTGGGAGCAGTGAACACGTGTGACGGGGCAGAGTTCTTGATTTGCCATGTGGCCCTTTGCTATTAAACTGCATCCGATTCTCCTCTTATCCAATCCCCTTCTCTGAAGTCTCGCAGTCATAAATGCCGGGTGGGAGTAGAGAGGAACACCTACCACGTTTTCTTTCTCGTTAACCTTGGTAAGCCCAAGGGACCACTGCAAACAAACCACCAATAAACAGCCACCACCAAGCTCAAGTGTGAGTAAAATTCAAGTTGGCGGAACCAGGAAAAACTCACGTTCTGGAGGTTGCTCTTTGGTTTTCTTCTCTCTGCACTGCCATGGAAGGCACGTGGAGCTTCACCTGGACACTGGTGATGTTTAACCATTCCCACTGAGGCAACTTTGCTCTTTGGTTTAAATCCAGAACTTCACGGTATAACAGAGGAAAAGCTCCAAGTTAAAAGCAATGGCACCTTGGAGTCTTCATGTAAACAAGACCCAGCCAGATGCATCTTATCTTCTCTGTTGCTTCAAATGGAGGTCTGACTGCACTGGCATCTCCTCCCGGAAGACCTGCTTCCAACAGCAGAGACAGCCCAGAAGGCACGCCAGGGGCTTGCGCAGCTCTTCCTCGGTGGTGATGGCCTGCTGACTGTGTGCTAAATGATACTGCATCTCTTCTAAGTTGTTAATTTTTGCCCTTGTCACAAAGCCCCAAATGAGGGTATGTTTTCATTCAAATTGGCTGATTCCAAACGGCCGGCCAGTTAGTGGCACTTGGTGGAATCCCAAGTGGCAGCAGCTGGGGTATCGCTGGCACTCACCCACACGCACCTGGAATCCTGTGCCCCTTCTGGCACAGCGACAGGCAGAGGGGCGATTTTCACGGCCAAAGGAGCAAAGGCCACACCTGGTGAAAAGAGCTGCGGCTCCAGAAGGAGAGGGTTATTCTGCCTGGAGCTGTGGGGTGAAGACTGGGGCTACCGTGCTTATCAGCTTCCAGGGGAAAATGCCTTTCAAATACACTTTAGGGTGTGGAGGCCACAGCAGTGCTGAGCCAAGGGAAGAAACGCGGTTTACTTTGCTGCACAGACCTTCCGTGGTGTGTGGTGTAGGGTCCTGGTAACGTTTGTGTGTGGCTTTCTGGACTATTTGAAATTCTTTTCTAGAACAGTGCCCCTGACAGGCGTGCATGGAATGTCTTTAATCTGACTTCCCTGTGTGCTGCTTTCTGGCCCTGGACTGCACCCTCTGGTGCCCCAGGAAGCTCCCTCCCTCCTGGGATCTGTCAACTGGCAGCTGGATCCCAGGTTCAGGCTGGCTGCTTGATCCTTGACCCACTGATGCACTGGGGTTTTTATTAAAGGACAGAATCAGGAGGACGAGAGAAATGGAGGGACCGTGTTCTGTAGAGAGACAGAATTTAATTCATCCCACTGTGCCCTCTAAGGTTCTTCTATCCATCTGCTTGTAGCTAAAACTGACAAAGCCTTCAAGGCTTTTCTGGATGCCCGGAATCCCACCAAGCAGCACTCCTCCACCCTGGAGTCATACCTCATCAAGCCCGTGCAGAGGGTTCTCAAGTACCCGCTGCTGCTCAAGGAGCTCGTGTCCCTGACAGACCACGAGAGCGAGGAGCACTATCACCTGACAGGTAAGGCGGGGAGTCCGCCCTCCGGGACCAGGACAGGCCGCTGTGCTGGAACCGCCTGCCTGGAGGCTGCGCGGTCCCCTCCACTCGCAGATGGACCTAGACTTCAGAGTGTTTTTTCCTGCAGAGTCCTTGGCCTATCTCACAGCTGCTACCCATGGCTTAGATGAAGAAGCTGAGAGCCTGAAGGAGACTTTTGACCCAGAGAAGGAAACAGTGAGTCATTATTTTCATGAGTGTCTTGATTGCAGAATTAACTCTGAGATCTTGGGACACCTAAAAACTATAATTGTTGTGACCAGCAATTGGCATAATGGCTATGTTGCTGGACTCCCATGTAGTCAACCATGGTTTGAGTCCGGACCCAGTGACTTAAACTCATGTTGGGTGCTTGTGTGTGTGCCCAAGATCCCAAGTGGAGAAGGGATTGTGGCACGGCCATCCCCTCCAGGGGGTGATTTCTCACTTTCTGTCTCTCTCTCTCTGTCTTGTGGCAAGCGATGCACCCTATAGCAAAAACCTCCCCCACCCCCCCCCCCCCCCCCCCAAAAAAAAAAAAAAAAAAAAAAAAAAAAAAAAGAAAGAAAGAAAAGAAAAAGGGAAGGTTTATGGAAAGAAAGACTCCCAGGGGTCTGAGGCCTGAGGTGCATCGGCCCACCCTTCCAAGGAGACATGATGTCTTTATATGGGAGGGGTTGGGGTAGGGTCGCTTTGATTAGCGTGCTTGCCATTGGGCCCGGCAGTGGGTGGGCAGTGGGTGTCCACTGAAACACTTCTGTGGTTTTGTTTGCCAGTAAGGGGGGGCTCTGGTGGAAGGATCTGGCCAAAGTTCATTCATTACGAACTTCTCCTTATTTTCTGATGGGAAATGACTTAAAGGCCCTTCATGGGTTGATCTAACATTTCCAGCCTTTATCTTTCATTAACAAACAAACAGAAACGATGGGGCAAGGCTGGGACAAGTAACCGTGTTCCAGCGCTGCAGTCCTCAGTTAATCTAAGATGGAACGGTAGTGCGTGAAAATGGCCAGGTCCAAGGCCACCCTGCTGCAGTACACAGAATAATTTAGAAACAGTTATCTCATTGAAGTAGCTCGAACCTCCTCAGGAAGGATAATTCTATCTTCATTTTGAAAAGAAGGTCATTTAAACTCGGCGAGTTGAAGTCAACTAGTTCAGCTCTGTCTGGAAACAGTGGTATCCTGGGCGCTGCTGGGCCAGCGTGCCCGGTAGGGCGCCACCTGGTGGAGGTCTCTATGCAGAGCCGGCTCCAAAACCGAACTCTAAGGGCGCAGCGTGCTGGCAGTCGACAGGGGTGCGTATCGCCTGAAATCTTGGAAATGATCTGACCATAGCACAAAGCCCACAGTTTGATAGTAAATAAAATATCCCTTAAAGAGATGCTGTTTGGTTTATAGAGAAGTCGTGACTTATTCCCCCTGGGTGGAATAACCAGGTGGCCCAGGTTAGTTAGCCAGATGTAATGAAAGTCACGGGGAAAGAAGCAGGCTTACTAATATATATTAGTATTACTGCATAATAAATATTGAGAAAAGTGTAAATTACACTGGCTCTTTATCCAGACCAGCATACTTTGGTACAGTAGATAACAAGAACAAAAACTTTTGTATATGAAATTTAAATTCTACAAGCAAATGATACAAACAATACAAAAAGTTAAATTCTACAAGCAACCCATACACACAATATTCAGATACTATGTAAGAAGTTCAGTTGAGGGCGGGCCAGGTGGCGTGGTGGTGAAGGTAGCTGGATTCCAACATGGCTGACTGCATGTCTTGAATCCCAGACCCAGTGGCTTGAAAAACGTGCTGGGCATGTGTGTGTGTATGTTACCCAAAATCCCAGAAGGAAAAATGGAGGAGAAGGGATTGTAGCATGGCCATCCCCCATGAGGATGCTTTCTCCCTCCTCCCTGTATCCAGTGAGTGCACATGCCCTTTATCAAATTACAAAAATTACATTGCAATGAGTTTTAAAGTATTCTGTTCAAAACTCCCTTTCGGGGCCAGTAGGTAACATGGTGGTTAAGACGCTGGCCCACTGAGGTTCGAGTCCCCAATCCAGAGGCTTGCTTTCTCACTTTTCTACTCTCTCTGGTGAGCTCATACACCCTATAGCAAATTAAAATAATAATAATGATAAACTAAATAATTCTTTAAAAAATTTACAAACTTCCTTTCAACACTCCCCCCATACTAAACTAGAATACTAAAGAGAACAAAGTGTGAAAAAAAACTCAGTATTTTTGGAGGTGGTCTGCAAGTTTGCTTTTGGACTTTTGACAAAATCATTTTGTCCTTCATATGACCTGGTTGAAAGTTACAAACACACACCACATATAAATGCAAACAGCTGCTCTATTAGTCATTTATAGGAACATTTGGAAGTTCTAAGTATAAAGCCGTTGTAGATCCCAGCTTCCATGGGAGAGGCAAAATACCAGGTTGTCCTGCTACCAGCTATCCTTTGGCTTGTTTTCTCTTTGGAATTCTGGCAAATTACTCTGGACCTCAGTTTTCTCGTCTGTAAAAGGGGGTTGATTACAGTCACAGAGGTACAGTGGGTTAGATGAGATGATTTGCATAAATTGCCTCTGATGGCATAAGCCAAGAAGAAAAGACTCAATGAATGTTAGCTGTTGTCATTAGCAACACTCTTTACTTCTGCCCTGTCTCATTCCAAAGAGGATGTTCTTGATTATCATGACCAGATTACAGCGGGCTCGTGAGCTGTGCCAAGTAACGGTGCTCTCGGCGTGTGCTACTTGTGGGTCCTGGCTTGAATCCTCACTCCTTTCATTACTGCTGTTGGACAGATTTAAAACAAACAAATTATAAAATTAATATTTCATATTTTCCAGAAGCACTAAAGGCAATGGAGAAAGTAGCGAGTCACATCAATGAGATGCAGAAGATCTACGAGGATTACGGGACGGTGTTTGACCAGCTCGTAGCAGAGCAGAGTGGGACGGAGAAGGAGGTCTGTGAGGCTCCAGGCCTAATGCGTCACTGTAGGTGTAGGTGACCTTCCAGAGCAGGCTGCCCTCTGAGGACCTTCTTGGAGAAGAACAGCATACAATTTCCTTTTCATATTAATGCAGATGATAAATTACACAATTCAGTTATAAATGTAAAATAAAACTCCCTTGTACAGGAAACCTTCTGTCATGTTAACAGTGTACAAAAGAGAGCAAGGAGGCGTCACTGAGCTCAAGCCCTGACACCCTCCTTTCACGTGGAACTCCGGCCACCACAAATCTGAGACCAGAACAGACATACTGAAGAAGGGTTAGGGCTGGCAGAGCTAGGTGGGACCAGCATGGAGAGAGAAATGCAGGACTTTTTAGTTTTACTTTTTCTTTTCTCCAATCAAATATTGGTGGTTACCCACTCACTTAGAAAATTAGTCCAAGTGGGATTTGATGCTTCCTATAATGTTTCTTTTTCCTCTGATTGCTAAATTAGAATCTTGTGCTTTTGAAAGACACATGCATGAAGCAACAGTTTAAGCAGGAAGTGGCAAGAACAGAAAAGAGCTGGAGTTCATTGTTTATCCAGTCAGGCTCCATATGGCAGCTTAGTTAGCAGGCCCAACCCCGTTTCTGGATTAGAGGTGGTGGTTACCAGCTGCTGTGGTACAGACATGGGGCACTCTGTAAGGACGTGGGCACTGGAGGTCGTGAGGCCTGCCTCACCTACATACATGTGCCCTGCAGCAAAATGCCTTCCCGTATTTATCAGATGGACGCTTGGCCCGTGTCTGTAAAAGTCCACTATGTAAGGCCCCCTGTTCACAGGGCCCATAGAAATCAGGACACGCTTGCATTTTAACAACGCCCATGTATGTCTGACCGTGTATGTGCACTTCTTAGTCTGACATGAGACCATCTACCCCTGGGGTTTCCACATGGTCTTATTTCCTGTTTTCACAATCTAGGTAACAGAGCTTTCGATGGGGGAACTTCTGATGCACTCTACTGTGTCCTGGTTGAATCCGTTTCTGTCTCTGGGAAAAACCAGAAAGGACCTTGAGCTCACAGTATTCGGTTAGTATGCACACAAATTACACAAATGTACACTTCCGTGAGGCTGGCGACAGCAAAGGGCTTCCCTAACACCGCAGCCCAGCTAACTCCCGATTTCCAGAAGGCGTTGGAACTGCCGTCCTGGCTGGTGCCTTCCCGCAGCCTCACACTGAGACCCGTCGCCCTGCACTCATTACCCTCCTCCCTTGTGCTGCTTGGCTCAGGCCGGGTGTGCAGGAACAGGTCTCGGGGGCTGTTTTGAAGCTTGCTATCTTAATAGTTTGTTGAATTTCAGAATGTCTTAATTCAGAGTTGGGAGAGCAAAGAAGACAGTGTCTTATCACTGAGATGAGCACCGTGTCCTAGCTTTGAACAAATGGAAAAGAATTCTAAGAATGCCAGGATCTAGTTCAGATAATTGCCTTTAAATAAGCAGGTATTTCTGTGTGGTTCAAATATGAGCAGGACGAGGTACCATGTATCCCACGCGTGTTGGCCTAGTGGGAGCTTAGAGATTCATAATTTGAAGAGCTTTGTTTTAATAAAACATTCAGCTCTAGGGTAATCTTAGGAGAGTTTCTATAAAATAATGACTTTTCTTTTTCTTTTCCTTTCTTTAGTTTTCAAGAGAGCTGTCATACTGGTTTATAAAGAAAACTGCAAATTGAAAAAGAAATTGGTAAGACAAGAATTAATTTTATTTGAAACTGCTTTTTCTGTATCTTCCTGTTAATGTGGAATTGGAAATGCTGCTAAGCACCAGAGTGGTATGAGACGTTCTGAGGGCAGCTACCCAAATCACACCCTCAGAGCATTCCCAAGTCTCCTCACAAAGAATGATTTAAAGAAGATATAGACAAACACCCGTGCTGAGGCCAACATGGAAAACCGGGTTTTATATTCCTGAAAATGGCCATGCTTGTTCCTTACACAGAGGAGTCCATGTACCTATGGTTTATTTAAAAATACCTTATGGGTCAGCAGGTGGCATGGAGGTTAAGGCACTGGACCCCACATGGCCAGCTGAGCCTGAGCCCCAGACTTGGGAGCTTGAAAATTACACTGGTTGCGAGTGTGTGCGTGCCTAAAATCCCAGGAGAATGGTGAAGGGATTGAGCATGGCCATCTCTCTTGGGGGTGTTCTTGGCGTTTTCCCTCTTAGTGTTTGTCTCTCCATTGGGGGCACATGCCCTATGGGAAAAACAAACAAACAAACAAAATCCCACACCAGGCATGTGTGCGTGCGTGCCTCAAATCCCAAGAGGAGAATGGAGGAAGGATTGCAGTGTGGCCATCCCTCTGGTGGGTGATTGCTCCCTTTCCCTCTCTGTCTCTCTCTGGTGACTACACATGCCCTTTAGCAAAAATCTTAAAACAAAACAAAACAAAAACATTACTTGACCTAGAAAACAAACAAAAACCCTGAAACTTAGCTGTAGATACCTGCAGCCCTCAGCTCACCATCCGGAGACCCAGAGCTGCTTCCTCCCATGGTTCCTCACCCCTCAGCCCGGGTGGTCTTATAGAATTAGCTACACACCTGATTCAGCGCACAGGGCGTTGCTCAAAGGGAGGATGTGTGGGTGCCGCTTCTCTCTGGGGAGCGTTCCTTTAACACCTTGATGAGTTTCACTTTCGTGTTCCAGCCCTCCAACTCCCGGCCCGCACACGGCTCTGCTGACCTGGACCCGTTCAAGTTCCGCTGGCTGATTCCCATATCCGCGCTGCAAGTCAGGCTGGGGAACACTGCAGGTGACTGTTGCGGGCAGTGCAGGGCCAGAGAAAGCGTTTTAGGAGTCTTATCTGAATTGGAGCATGGAAAGTAGCACAACAGAATGGAAAGTAGGAAAATGAGGACAGGAGAGGTCGTTTTGATGTTTCCTTAAAGATTTCCAGAAGAAACTAAACGTCGTGAATGGCTTTTCTTTGCTAGATGCCTCTCTCTAGTCTCCTTGTTTTCACTACCAGTAGTCGTCAACACTTTTCTTTCTGCCTGATGGCTTTAAACTGATACCCTAAAATTGGCTAAAGGCCAAGGGTTCACAAATTTAAATTTTTAATTTTGGCCAGAGTGCTTGCTCCCTAGCACCTGAGTGTTTTTGGGGCTGGCCTGTTTCACATCTGGACCTCAGCACAGCCTACTGCTTCTACCAAGAAATGGGCGGAATTCCAAAGGAGGGTGGGGAAATAGGATCCATTTAATTTCTTTCCCAGAGATGGAATCCAGGGGTAGGTGAAAGCAGGTTCAGACAGATGGAAAGCCTCAACAGGAAATGTAAAAGTTAACCAGAAAGCATTGAACTTTTCTTACTATTTGTGAAAACCATGCATAGAATGAACCACAAGAAGAAAAGGAGAGTCAGGATTGGGAAAATGTGACATTTTAAGTCGTGAGCTTTAAACTTCACAAGTATTCTTAACCATGGCATGTTTGGCAAAGTTAGAGACTCTTCTTTCGATTTCCTTTTACACAGGGACAGAAAATAATTCCATTTGGGAGCTGATCCATACGAAGTCAGAAATAGAAGGACGGCCTGAAACCATCTTTCAGTTGTGTTGCAGGTATTGCTCACTTACAAAAATTAAAACCAGTGGGAATAAGATAGTATTCTCTCTTCAAAAAGCAAGTTTATTTTTATTATTTTTAAAACTTTATCCATGTATTTTTTCAGTCAGAGACACAGAGACACGCAGAGAGACAGGCACTCCCAGCAGCCCCTGGCCCACCGCCAGCCTTAGCCAGCCTGGGTCAAGGGCATACATATGCAGGGAAGCCCAGCGAAGCCCCAGGATGCGAACCAGGGACTTTCCTTGTGTTACTGCTGTGCCACTGCCCGGCCCTAAAAGGGAGTTCATTTTTAGTGCCCTCTGAGTGTCGATGAATTCACTTGAAGAAGAGGGCACTGATTCCATTTGCTGTACATCCAAATCCTAGAATAGCAGCTCTCGCGTCCTGTAAGCAGGGAAGCGGAGGCCCTGGGACGGGTGACTTGCTGTAGTCTGGGCCAGTGAGAGGCAGCGCTGGCAGAGGTTGCACAGCCCGGTATGTGGAGCGTGAAGGTGGGAGGGAGCGGGATGAACACTCTGGATACCACTGCTGCCCTCTCTCCCCTCAGTGACAGTGAAAGCAAAACCAACATTGTCAAGGTGATTCGTTCTATCCTGAGGGAAAACTTCAGGCGTCACATAAAGTGTGAATTGCCACTGGAGAAAACATGTAAGGATCGGCTGGTGCCTTTGAAGAACCGAGTTCCTGTCTCAGCCAAATTAGGTGAGCATTTTGCTAGCCGAGTGTTTATTCAAGAAAATACCGCGAGCTTCCCCAAAAGGGTGTATGCCGTCATAACACAGCTGCTAGTCATCACCTTGTCGATGACCAAGGGGGATTAGATTTCCTTTTGAGATCAAAACATGCTGCTTGCTCCCAGACATCCTTTCATTAACTATAGCCACCCTCGACCCCAAGTCCCGGTCTGACCACCTGCTGGCAGTCCAGATGCTCTACCTGTTTCTTCCCGAGACGTGCGTGGTCCAGGCAACCTGTTTTGCTCAATGCAGATTCCCACTGACAGAATGGTGCTGGGCACCTGGAAGGTCAATACCCAACAAGTTAAAGCAAGAAGCCTAATGTGTGGGCCAGTGGGTGGTGGGTGGTTAAGGTGCCAGACCCCTCATGGCTGTGTGATTTGAGTCCTGGATCCCAGGACTTGAAAAACATGCTGGGAATGTGTGCATGCTTGCCCAAAGTCCTGAGGAGGAGGGAAAAGAGATTTTGGCATGGCCAGCCTCCCTAGGGGAGTGCCCCCCTCCACTCCTTCCCTCCGTGTCTTTCTGACAAGTCACATAAACTATAGGAAAAAAAACATCTGATTTCTTACTCTATCAGTAAGTCAGGGAAACATTCCAGATCACATTGTTCTTAAACTTTCTGCTTCCTTCTAAAATTTCAGCTTTCAGAACTTTCTACATTAGCTATTTTGTTATTGTATTTGTTCTGTTTTAGTCTTATAAAATGTGTAATAACTTCTCTCTCTGTTTTTTGGTCACAGTTTGACCTCTTCAAATTTACTGTACATTTTCTGTTTTTTTTTTTTTTTTCTATCATGGAAATAAGTTATGACCATCAAAAATATTACAATATCCTGTAGGAACACTGGAACTCCCTTTTCGTCTTCAACCCAGGAGAATGTAATCACACACACACACACACCCCTAATAATAAATCTCTCAGTTTAGAGATTCCAGCAGAGATAGCTCTTGTGAAAGATAAAGAGCATATTTTTAATTTAATTGAGCAGGAGGAGAAATAAAGGAGATGTGCACAGAAACGTGCAAGTAATTCTGATAACCAGCTACTTTTTTTTTTTCTTTGTTAGAGGGCACAGTTGCTCACCAAAGGGAGACAGAGAAGAGAAAGTACCCTCCCTCCCCCCCGGGGAATGGTCATGCCACAATCCCTTCTCCATTTCTCATTTTGGGATTTTGGACACATGTGCACACACACCCTGTTTTTCAAGCTGTCTCGTTCAGGACTTGAACTGTGTATCTGATCACATGTACCTTTAATCACCAGGTTACAGGCCAGAACCAAAGTGTTGTTTTTCTTGATTTTAAATTTCTTTTTTAAAAGTTTTTGCCATGGGGTGAATATCCTTACCGGAGAGTGTAAGAGAGGGAAAGTGAGAAATCACTTCTCGAAGGGATGGACATGCTGCAATCCCTTCTCCTACTAGGATTTTGGGCAGGCATGCACAAGCTGCCAGGTCTGGGATTCAAATTGCGGTAGGCCTTTGGGAATCCAGTGCCTTGACCACTATGCCACCTGCTGGCCTCCGCCCCAAAGTATTGAGACTTTTTGTTCCTTTCCCTCCCTGTCTTTACTTCTCTCCCTCCCTTTTTTCCTTTCTCTTTCTTCCCTTCTCTCCTTCCCTTCCTTTCTCCCTTCCCTCCTCTCCCTCCTTCCTTTCTCCCTCCCTCCCTTTTCTTCGCTTTCTCCTTCCTTCCTTCCATTTGACCAGAGAAGGACACCGTGAGAAAGAAAGAGAGAGAGAGAGAGAGAGAGAGAGAGAGAGAGAGAAAGCAAGTCGCCAGGTCTGGGACTTGAATCGCAGTCAGCTATATGGGAGTCCAGCACCCTTAACCACCTTGCTACCTGCCAGTCCCCCAAAGTATTAATATTTTAATAAAAGAAAGAAACCTGGAATTTATTACAGACTGATCATCCCTAATCTAAAAGTCCAAAATCTGAAATGCTCTATAATTCTAAATTTTTTGAGCATTGATGATGCCACGAGTGAAGAAGTCCTCATATTATATGCCAGATGGCAGTCAAAATGCTGCATCACAAAAACGTACTACTCCTTCAAGCTGTGTGTAAGATACACATGAAGCATAAATGAAGTGTGTTTAGACTCGGGTGCCATCTCCAAGGTATCTCATTAGTGTATGCAAATATCCCCAAATCCCAAAATCTGAAATCCAAACACTTCTGGTTACAAGCATGTCAGAAAAAGTATACTCAGCCTGTAGTAATTAACTTCTTTTACTTGAGAGAGGGATCCTCATCAGGGTCTTTAAGCCACAATCCTACCCTAGCCTTGCAGCCAGCCGGGATCATGGGTACACCCGTACTGGGCAGACCTGGGACATGAACCCAGGGCCTTCTCACATGCTCGCTAGTATTGCGCAGGTGTTCCCGCCCTTGCGCCACTGTGGCTGGGCCAGTCATGAACTTTTCAACTTATTTATTGGCAAAATAAGAACCCTGACCCTGAGGCTGGAAGTGGCACAGCTGAACCCACATGGGGGAAAGGGGAGAGGGGGGTTCCTGGGCTTGCATCTGGGTACCTCTGGGCATGTCAGGTGTACGCGTGTGTGCCCTTGATGCTGGCTGGGAACGGGGATGGACCACAGCCTGGGACTCATATAGGGGAGGCTTCTTTTCTCTCTCTCTCATGGAAAAAAGCAAACAAATAACCATTAAGAAAACTTTTAAAAGATGTGATTATATAATTAAAAAAAAAATCCTAGGCCTTATGATTATTATTGTTCAATTGAAATAATTGAGTTCCATTAATCGAAAATGCTGGATTCCTCCCAACTGACAATTTCAAGTAAAAATTTCCATGCTTGCAGGATTTGCATAATGTTCCCTAAATACCAGGATGGTAAGAAATTGAAGTCAAATGATAAAATCTTAATTAAGACATTAAATTTTATAGCCTGCGAGGCACACAGTGCACATGGTGTAGCCGGTTTTGGTGTCCTAAGGCAACGTGCTCCTCTCTCTCACTGCAGCGTCCTCCCGGTCACTCAAAGTCCTCAAGAACTCCTCCAGCAGCGAGTGGGCCAGCGAGACGGGCAAGGGCAGCTCGCTGGACTCGGACGAGTGCAGCCTGAGCAGCAGCACCCCGAGCAGCGGCTGCACCCCCGCGGGGGCCAGGCAGGACTCCCAGGGCGCATCTCCTGAGAAACACCCACACTCCGACTCGGCAGAGTTCTCAGACAGTCTCATCAAAGAGAGTGACATCCTGAGCGACGAGGACGACGACTGCCAGCAGACGCTGAGACGGGGCAGCCCCACCAAGGACATCGAAATCCAGTTCCAGAGACTGAGAATCTCCGAGGACCCTGCGGCTCAGCCCGCTGGGCAGCCACCCGGTACAGAGGCGAGCGAGGGCCAGCGGGGACGAGAGCAGCCCAGACTGGTCCGGGGGCACTTCTGCCCCATTAAGCGAAAAGCCAACAGCACCAGGAGGGACAGAGGGACCCTGCTCAAGGCGCAGCTCCGCCACCAGTCCCTGGACAGTCAACCTGAAAACACCAGCGTTGACCTGAATTCTGTCCTGGAGCGAGAGTTCAGTGTCCAGAGTCTGACATCAGTTGTCAACGAGGAGTGTTTTTATGAAACAGAGAGCCACGGAAAATCGTAGTAGGTTTGGTCCAGGTCTGGGTCACTTTGCCCAGCTTACTTTGAAGTCGGTGGTAAAGTGGAAATCACAGAAAAACCACCCATTAGTGGTTCTGTGCAGTATACATTTTCCCACCAAACAGCTGTAAAGACTTAAGTTATTTTAATTTATTATGGATCAGGAAACTAGATTAAGCTGGTCAGAATCTGTAAATTTCTTAGTTTCTATCCAATCCAAGCAGGTATCAAAGTGACTTAGAATCCTTAAAATAAAATTGCATTCTAATTATTTTAAGTTATGTGGAAAAAGACTGGGGAAGTTGTGATTAATAGCTTTTTTAAAGGATCATCTTTTTTCAATCCTCTGGACATTTTCTTTGAGCTGTTAGTATTTGCTTTATTTAAAGCATATTTATTTTAATGTGGTTTAGGGGCACAATTGCAGCTACTTCATTTTTGTAAGGTTGTAACAGACGCTGTTTATACTAAACATGTTCTATCTATGCAGTATATATATTAAAGAAAGCTTGTACTGTATCTTATTTGATATTTATTTTCTCTACCAAGCTGTACAGTAAAAGGACAACGAGGCACACTTGGTGGTTGTCATTTTTATTGTCACTGTGAAGACAGCGCGGGGTGAGAAGCCGCGCGCTGCAGATCACTGGCCGGCCCTGCCCACGAGTGGCAGCTAGAGTGCGTGGGTCTCTTCATCGTCTTCGTCTTCGTCTTCCTGAGTGTTGCTTTTACTCTGCTTCAGTTCTTCTCTGAAATTATAAGCAAAGAGGTGCGGGTCTTCATCACACATCATCCTGTAAACATCGCAGAGGCTCTTAAAGTGTGAGAGCGAGAGCTGGCTGGGCCGAAGAGTGGGGTCCACGTCTGCCAGCCGTAACAGCCTCCCAGTGCTTTCCACACGCTGCGCTTCCGGGAATAACATTCTGCGGAGAAAAGGGAGAAAACCAGGAGTTCACTTGCATTCTGCGAATGTAAGTATGGCTTCCTCTTGCCTTCATTTGAAAACGACACAGTTCCTGACACCCGGAGGAAGTGGCTGAGGCCCCGGGAACATTGCAGCTCCCGTATGGGCAGGTAAAAGCCACCCCCACAACCAGAGAGCAACCTGACTTGGGTGTATCCACGGCAGCAAAGTACTTCCCAAAGCTAAATCCATATACATTCTTTACCGTGTTTAAAGTACCATCTGCTTAATTCTTATAAAGATACAAATTCGAGCTGCCTCATATTTTAAACACAAAGCTGTGTGTTACTGCTTGAGTGTCAGATCTCCAGTCTGATCCTCTCTAATCTGAATTTATCAGTCTCTGGAACTCTTCACCCCAAATGACTTTTTTGTCTTTTTTTTTTTTTTTTTTTTCTGTAAATACAAACGATTATTCCTCTGAGATACTTTGGATACATCTTTAACACTGACTCCAAGTACACTACTAAAAATCTCATCTAGAACCAAATCAAAATCAGTCTCTGGAACTCTTCCCCCAAAATGCTTTTTTTGTTTTTTTTTTTTTTTTTTTTTCTGTAAATACAAACGATTATTCCTCTGAGATACTTTGGATACATCTTTAACACTGACTCCAAGTACACTACTAAAAATCTCATCTAGAACCAAATCAAATTGTTGTTTTAAAGAAAACAGCAAAGCGGACCACCTGGAAGTGACCTCCTGAAGTTATGCCAGGGTTACTTTCCACCCCAAGTCTTGGGGGCGCATAGGGCTCCTCCTAGAGGCCTGGGGGACGTCAGGCAGGAGGAGGCCGAGCGCTCTGCAGGGCGGTGGTCCTCTCCACGAGGAGCCGCATGTTCTCTACTTTCTGGGGGAGGTGACGTCGAGTCCATCTCATGGCAAGGAGGGTGTGATGATGGCTTCTAACATCTGGGACCAGTGTGTGGTGTGACCAAAGGACAGCAGCAGGTCCCCGTGTCCTTGTCCACATCTCAACAAAGGGCTTCATCACCTAGCTGAGGTTGCCTGGGAAACACTAGGGCCACCTGAGGCTCAGGCCAGAGTTCTAAAAGCAGGAGGGGCTTTTTGTGCCACCCCCCCCCATGACCATCACGTACAGCCGATGTTTGTGCCCCCCGGATCAGGATGTACAGCTGATGTTTGTGCCCCCCCGACCAGCATGTACAGCCGGATGAGCCATGCTCTGTGAAGAGGACAGATGGGAGCTAAGTCCAGGCTCACACTGTGCCCACCAGCCAGTGCACCCTCATGAGGGCTGCTGGAGTCGGGGCACCTTTGCACTAATTAGTGCCAAGACGGTCAGTGGCATCTCTGCCACACACTCTGAACTCAGGTCTCTGCTGGAGGAGGACCGATCTGGTACAGTGTGGGGACAGGCTTAGATTCAGCAAATAACAGGCTGAGGGTGCAACACCCGCCATCTGAAACCTTAGGGCGGCTTTTGCGGACTATAGCAGCTGCAGTCTGGGGGTACGGCTGCCTGGCCGAACCCGGACGGCGCTTCACACAAGCCCAGGAAGACTGGGAGCAGGCTCCACACTCTGCTCTGTCTCCTTTCCCTGTGCAGAGCCGTGAGCTCAGCAGAGAAGCTACCACTGAATGAAGATGTGCTTGGTTGTAAAGATCTGGTGATGTCATTTTGGCTGTTCGGAAGTCAAATTTGTTTCCTTGTTCCTATTTCGAACCACACTCACAGCTGTCTCGATCTTGACTGAGAAATCAGGACGTCTTGCAGTACGAGTCATTAACTCTGTTGTCAGCTTTAGGTTATACTTATGATAAAAGAAAACCAAACCTGGGCTGGCCCTGTAGCCTAGTGGTTAAGGGAGCTGGATGCCACATGCCCAACCCTGGTTCAAATCTGGGGGCTTTAAAACACACTGGGGACATGTGCATGTGTGCCCAAATCCCAACGGGATGGAGCAGGGATTACGGCATGACCGTGCCCCACCAGGGGATGATTTTTCTTCCTCCCTCTGGCTAGCACATGTGCCCTCTGCCAAATTAAAAAAGAAAATTAAAACCAACCTGTATGGGACCAGTAGAAAGCATAATGGATGGCTGTCGCTGGACTCCCATGTAGTCAACCACAGTTCGAGTCCTGGACCTGGTGGCTTAAACTCATGCTAGGCATGTGCCCAAGATCCCAAGAGTAGAATGGAGGAGAAGGGATTGTGGCGTGGCCATCCCCTCCGGGGGGTGATTTCTTAATTTCTCTCTCTGTGTTTCTGGTAAGCGCACACACCCTACAGCAAAAACATCTCCAAAAAAATAAATAAAAAATAAAACCCAACCTGTAAGTGGCATCCGAGGTTGAATTGAGGGTTTTCTTTTTCCTCAGTGACTGTGAATTTAAGTCTTGTGGTAAGATTTAAGATTTAATATTCACAGGCAGTGTTAAAACTTCCTAAAAGTGACTGAGAATTTTAAATACAAAGATTCCACTGAAAGAAAGAGAGGGGGCATCTTACCCAAGCCCCCGGTAGCAGCGCTTCCTCCGGAACTGGAACGTGTTCTGGACAACTTTTTCCACCAGCTTGAATGGCTGCTCGATCTTGGGCTGTCTCAAGGGAGTAAAGTGTACCACTCCCACGTCCACCTTTGTGGGAAACAAACACATCATTTGTGGCATGACACACGGTGGAGTGTGACTCACGGTTTATCTCTGCACCTCATGGCAGTGGGCAGTCGGCAGCACGGTTTCACAGACAGACCTTTCTGGCCCGTCGGTTTTGTCCTCTCCATGTACGATGATGCCACGCTCTGGACTTGACATGATTCCCAGCTGCCTGTATTCTGTGAAGACCGTCACTAGGTCTGTGCTTGATCATTTAACTTTAAATGGGCTTTTACCATGGCTTTTTAAAATCAATCCAAATAATCAATTCGGTAGGCGGATAACAGCACCAGGACGTTTTAGTGAGCTTTGGAGTGAGTGAACACTTAGCTGCGGCAGTAGTTCTGATCATATGGCAGGACTTAGAAACACAGAAGGCAGACACCTTCCCCCCTCAAACCTGCTTTCCCAGGACTGCTTAGTGCTCACCTCTCCAGAAAGGGATCGGTTAGGTATAGTTATTCTGGGCACGGACACTGACCGATCCGCTGAGACCCTGAGCATGGTCTGCAGAGCCACAGAACTTCCTGGGCACAACTTTGAATGCCCCAGAAAGCACAGGCAGGATGAAAACTGAAAATGGAAACCACTAAAAACATCACTGTTTGAAGGTGTTCAAGCTGCTACCATCTGCTGAGGTTCCTTAATTATCAGAAGACTTCCCAGGCTATCTGCTCATAGATTTATACCTGCCTTATCCAAAAACTGGCCTCATGGTGATTCATAAAGATACATTCAAGGTAACAAGATATTGGGAGTAAAGATAAAAGGAAAAATGGAGTTGAAATAGTCACTGTGGGCCGGCCCCACAGCCTGGTGGTTAAGGGAACTGGATTCCACATGTCCGACCACAGTTTGAATCCCGGTCTCTGCGGATTGAAAAACATGCTGGGTCCATGTGTGCCTCAGATCCCGAGGGAATGTGAAAATGGAGAAGGGAAAACTGGAATGTGCAACATGGCCACACCCCACGGGGGGACATTTTATCCTCCCTCCCTCCGTGGTGAGTGCACGCATCCTCTGGTAATTAGAAAAGTCCCAAAAGCAAAAAACAGTTACCACACCACAGAACTGCCCGGCAGAGCAGAGTAGCGGGATGGGGAGTCTCCCTAAACGGCAAAAGCACCGGGCTCCTGGGACTGCAGGCCGGCCGCCTGGAGCAACGCGGGCGCCAGGCGCCGAGGCTCAGTGCCTGGGAAGCAGGACTGGACTACTGGATTTTAGTCCCTTAGAGGGCGCCGTTTTCCTGGGGAGGACTTGTGCCCCTAACAGCCCCTAGCAGTCTGAGCAGGCTTTCAATGAGCTGGTGGCTGTTCCCATGCCACAGGGCATCTGACCCGCCGGGCTGGCCAGCTGACCCACAGCCCCTCCTGTCCCCAGAGTGAGAGCTGCCAATGGGGGAGCCTGTCCCAGCATGACGCTCCCCTCCACCTGCCTCTGCCTTCGGCTCTTACAGTGCCGTGCGTTCAGGGGGACGGCTGTGAACAGTGCCTGAAGACAGCGTGAAATGTGAATGTTCTGAACTGTGCTGCATGTGCCGCTGAAGGAGTTTCAAGTTTACTAACGAATATTTCCTGTAGGGAACAAAGTGCTTTGGCTATGAGACCCAGATGTCTCAGACCTGAACAACTCTGTGGAACAGCGTCCAGAGGTCTTGTGGAGGTGTGTGACCACAGAAAAGAGGGACAGACGATAAGGGGGTGGAGGGGAGGGGAGCTGCTGTGAGGGGAGAAGCAAAGATGGCCTCACCTTAGAGCAGTCTGTGGAAGGAAGAGGAGGGGTGATTGTGAGTGGGAGAGTGTGGAAACGCAGCCCCAGGCACCTGTAATGACTTTAAATGTCAAAGACCCCTCCCCATCAACTCTGAAATGTTCACCCTACTCCCTTCCTCCTGGTTTGGGACAGAGAAGTGACCCCAACTTCTGGGGAGGTTCCAGACTATCCTCTAGCTCTGCCCTGCTCTGTCCCTCTGTGACCTCACTTCCCACCATCTGAGCGCCCGGCATTCC